TATATATATATAAATGAATATGTTAACGAACTTAACAATATTTTGCCTATTGCTGTCAAATTCTCATAAAGAGTGGAATTTCTTTGTGGATGAGAATAAATCCGACTCAGACATATTTTACTTGATAAAGATATACCTAAATTGGAAGAATGGAGATCACATAAGATATTAAGGTCATTATTTGATAGTACTTACGGTATTAATCATAGAATTGTGCTTGCGAATGCAGCATTAAATAACCTTAAGAGGATGTGGACCAAAAGAAAATTTCACTGTTAACTGATGCTTTATGATACTTAAGTAGTATCTATATTATTGTATAATTGCAGCAGTTGGTCAGCACCAAAGCATGCGTTTGACGAATCAAATGCTTGTCATATTACAAAAACACCTAAGGATTATATTGAATGAAAGTCTGTATACAGTCTGTAAAACGAGCTCACTCTCAGAAAGAGTCTGTCGTTTAATAGATGGTTAATATTTGGGCATGATTGAGAATGGATGAAAACACACCGTCTTTTTCATTATTCTTCTATGCAGTTGTTTTAAGGCCAACTCAAACAGCGTCGGCCGACGCAGCCCGACCCGATTTATCGTCGGGGACAGTCTTAAGCCGTCGTGAGAAATATTAAACATGTTTAATGTTCTACGACGCGACTGCCCCCGACGCACACCATCGCGTCTGCGTTTAGCTCACACAGACCCGACGGGACAACAAATCGCGTCGGGCTGCGTCGTACGACGCTGTCTGAGTTGGCCTTTAGTAATATTATTAAAGGACGAGTTGGAAGAAATCAAGCCAACCTTTTGTCTCTAATTAGGAACGAGTTAAATTCTAGAAATTTTAAGTTAAATGATTCCGAAAATTTAAATGTTTTACGAGATATTGCAAAGATAGAAATAAGTAGTAGGCCTATGCTCTGTTGTAGTTTTGTTTTGTTAATTGTATATACACAGAACTTACACAGAAACTGTACAGTAAAGTGTATTCAATGGAAATATGGTTTTTGAATAAAAATTATTACTGTATATATAATATAGTGTAAATGTACGTCAGTCCACATGCGTTTTCTTTTATGTTGGTCACTATATTTTTGATTGGCTTGTATTGTTGTTTTATCACATGTTTGCCTTTCGTATAAGATGGAAAAAATTGAAAGTTTCCAAGCACTTAACAGTACTATACTGTACTTCTAAATGAAATTGCAAAGTAGTGCTTCTTATTTTATTTTACTGGCGCAGAAAATGCCTTGGGCTTCCAAGAAACGTTGACAGAAATAAATTTTATTTACACCTAGTAGCGGTGCTAGCGGGGTGGTGGGACATTTTCCCCCATATAATTTTCTCCCCTCTCCCCACCAATTTTCCTCCAAAAATAGAAAAAACACCACAATTCGTTGGGGAGAAAAAAAAAGGTATGTATTTTCTACATAATTAGTAGACTATCTATATCGATTAAATAATCGCCGAAACCCCTAAACTGTCATATTTTTCGGGGGACCACTTTCAAGACATTTTGAGCGAAGCCCGACTACCTCCACTTCGGGCCACCCCAGCATTTTGCCTCTAAAATTTTACCTTGCTCCTTACTTGCATGTTTACGCAGATGATACATAGATTTACACACCTATTTGCCCAACATCGATGATTGCTGTCTGTCCAGCAATATCGATCATAGAAGAATGCTTATCCATAATTCAGAGGTGGATATCACATAATTTCTTAAATTGAGTTCTGACAAGTCAGAACTAATGGCGTTTAGTTTCCGATCCCAGTTAGCGAAGATCTACGCTCAATAAACGTTGCTTGTCATAATGTGCCTGTAACAACATATTAAAAAATCTTGGAGTAATGTTTGACAGTTGGTATGATTATGTCTGCCCAAGTTGCAAACATTGTAAAGACAACCAACTTAATTCCAACTTTTCAGAATAAACCCTGTTCGGAAAATGTTGACTGATGAACCAATACAAGTTGTTGTTCACACTCTTGTTAGTTCCAGAATTCATTACTGTAAACTATTGACATCTTCAAACATTTGTTGAAAACTCATCTCTTTCATAAAGCATACAATAATGTAGTATCCTAGTTCGAGTCTTGTGCTTATGGCGCCTTAGAGAAAATTTGTTTTGGGTAAGCGCTATACAAAGGACAATTATTATCATTATTATTATGTGTTTCATATGATCATCTTCCACTCCAAACCTTATTTTACAGTGGCACTGTTTTTCTTATCTGCAGGAAAATATTGGAATAGAAGCATTAGGCTGGACCACAAGAGCCAGGACAATTTTTTCACTTTCTTTTTCTTCTTTTCTTTTTAAATAATTCAATTCTAACCCATTTTATGCCTATTTTAACTAAAATATATAAAGAGAACCTGTCATTGTTTTTAAAGCACTTCATATGACTGCGTACAAGAAAACCTTTTAAGGCAACGAATTAACGTTTTCAGTTGGCTTCCCTTAGTATTTATTCTTTATCTGAATAATTAATGACAATCAATTTCTATTCTTTATTTTGTCCTTTGCATTCGTTTTGTTGTCCGAACATCAGTAACCTTCTGTACTTGTCCATTGTTAGGGGCATTCCTGCATTTTTTGGTTCATCAGTTACTTATTTTTTTACATAAATGAATGAATGAATGAATGAATGAACGAACGAACAAACGAGCGAATGAATGAAAGAAAAAAGGAAAGAAAGTGATTGATGAATGAATAAATGAATTGAATTAATAAATAAATGAATGAATGAAGCATTATTTGTTGTGCATTTGTTGCTTTAGCATAGCTAAATCATGTTGAATAAATATTAGAAATTTAGTCTCTTCATTTGTTACCATATCATACAACCACGCAATAGCTAATCACAGACATTATGACACAAACAAAACCATAGTTTAATATGCATGAAAATGTACTTTAATGTATCTTTAAAAACAATGTTGTTATTATATTGAAATTTAAGAATTTTAAAATAATAAATTATCGTAAATATATAAATATAATATAAAATCATTACCATTTGAGTATTTGTTTACATTGACTTTCAAGTTAGAAACATTTAAAAATGTCAGTAAACTAAATTTAAAAAGATAATCTCTAAACCGCTTTTTTGCGGTAATAATAATAATAATAAAACACATTAGGCCAGATAGATGTAAACGTTTAAAAATGTATTTCATACTTTTATGTCTTTTCAGCTTGTAGAAAGACAAAATGACTAGCTAAACCCAGGGACGTACACAGGTGGAGCCGTGGGATCCGCGGCCTCTTCCCCACCCCCACCTTTGTACACAGTGTTAAAATTGTAAAGCTTGTTCTTGCTAGCCAATACGAATTCTTTCCAGGGATCGCTCAAAATGAATACTTCTAAACTATGTAATTATGCATCAGCACACGTTAAACAGATCCCTGATAAAAGATCATGAGAAATTTGTTAGCGCTTCATTTTGACTATAATGATGATGTGATGATGATGAATTTTACTATATAAAAGTGTAATTTCCGGCCATCTAGAGGTACTATTTCTTCAAATGTTCTCACCTCAATCCCAACTATGGTGGGGTTGAGGTGGTCGTTATATCACGGCTTTGAAGTATGTAAAGTACATATTCCAAAACAATGTTTTTAAGCTTTATTTTCTATGGTAAATCAAACATTATTAATAAGATCTCTATGGTTGCCGAAAATCCCCGATAAAAGATCATGAGAAATTTGTTGGCGCTTTATTTTGAGTATAAATGGTGATGTGATGATGATGAATTTTACTAAAAAAGTCATTTCTGGTCATCTAGAGGTACTATTCCCTCAATTTTCGCACCTCAGCCCCAACCATGGTGGGTCTGAGATGGGTGTCGACTCACAAAATTCCCCCTCCCACCTCCACCTTTCAAAACAGATTGCGCCCTTCCTGGTTATGACATTAAAGCCCCATTCCCGGCAAAATTTCAGTTTTTAAGAAAAATCTAATTTTTGTATAATGTTAAAAAGATTTATAATACGGAATTGCTAGTTTAACTGAATTTAGACATTCCTAAGAATGAAAAAAATGTAAAATAAAACTGAAATTTGATTTTTTTTGTGTGGAACACAAACAATAAATGCGGATGAATTTTTCATTTTGATTTTGCGATAGGTCGTGAGAAGAAATATCGTAGGCGCCGAAAACATTAGCCTATCCAACGCTGCTAGGCTAGGCCTAGCCGTACCTCGATTTAGGTTCTGTTATCACACATAAAAACGGCCGACATGATATTTTCCGTTGCTAGTATTGACACTTGTGAAATATAATATTTCATAGGAATTATTTCAAATTTGTTAAAAAACTGATTCTGACTGAGATTTTGACACTTATACAAACATATCTCAGCCTAACCGAACGACCGCATTGTGTGAGATGCGAAGTACAAAAACTAATCTCTTTAGAGAGGGCGCACTTTATTGACTGTATAAAGTATACATAAAAGCGAGAGTATTCCAGTGGATGCGATCTACAACCTCTGAATTTGCCTTTCCGGAGTGTCAATCAAACTTAACAACTGACTAATCAGAACAACGCTAGGAATACGCGCGCGTCTTACAAACACACGTGTTGTCCCACAAACGCACGTGT